CCGATTTGATCACGTAACCACTTGAGTTGCAGACTCTTTATGTCCACATTATCCAGCAAAACCTGTCCTGCTCGCCAAGCAAACAAGAAATATCATCCATCAAATTTTGACGATTAAGATCAATTATGTACTATGAGTTGATCTGGAGTGGTTAAATTACCCTGACTAGGATCATAAAACCTCTCTATTAGGGAAATAACAGTGCTTTTCCCTGACCCACTGCCACCAACAACAGCAACAGTCTTGCCAGCAGGGAAGAAGATTGAGAAATCTCTGAAGATGATAACATCTGGCCTAGATGGGTAGCTGAAAGTCACACCCTTGAACTCGATATTCCCGGTAACCTCATCCAAGCATTTCCCATCCAATGCGTCCTGGACTATGGAAGGCTTTTGGTTGATTATCTCCATCAACTTGTATCCAGCTGATTTACCTTTGCTGAAGGCACCAAGGTTCGAAAACGACTGCCCTAAACTCCTGTAACAAAACACAAATTATGCCATTAGAAGAAAAAACTAATTGAACTCAATTGTGTCCAGCACTGAAGATTTGAAGCATTGTGCTTACATTCCACCAACAATGGCAGAGAAAATTGCAGTGAAGGCCTTTCCTCCGTCAGTCTGACCGTTCCTGATGAAAACACCGGCATACCAGAACACAAGGGCCCATGACATGCAAGCTATGCCATATGTGCAGCCAAGCCCCAACCCTTTGGCCATTCCAGCCTTGTAACCAAGCTTCAAGGTGTTCTGTATCGCATCTGAGTAGGAATTCAAGGCTTTGCTCTCCCCAACATACGAGTAAACTGTCCGAACCTGTGCAATGGCCTGCAACCAACGAACATTCCGTTCAAAATTCAGTTCAATACCTACTGTCAACAAGCTTGAAATTGAGAAAAACTGAAAGCACAAAACTCAAGCAGAGTGGTGGGGAAAAAACAACTACAGGACGCCACCAAAAGAAGGGAAAAGTCTAATGCAGGTGCCCTGAGCCATCATTTGATACACACGGGAAAGAGCCAGCTCAAAAAGGGCAACAACCAGCACTATATGACTGCTTGCCATGCTCAGCGTAAATCCAGAGAAGAAACCAAAAACCATGATTATAAACAGACAGCTGTGTGCATTTTTGTCATTAATCCAAAAAAGATAAATGAATCCAGACAAGTTTCCGAACAGAAAAGAGTGCTCCACACACAGGAGAAAAAAGAAGGTAGAATCACCATCAATCCAAAAAAGAAAGACACAGGGAGCCATCACCATCGTTATCTTCATCATCATGAATACAATTATACTATGCTCAAACACAATAAAACCCTCACCTGTTCGGCAATTATGCCCGCCTGAGAATACGACTCCCGGCTCTTGGAGGTAAGTCCGGTGAGAGTGTAGGCATAGAGCCCGCCGGCGAATGCTATTCCGGGGATCACCGCCACACTGAGCAGCGCTAGCCTCCATGCTGACACGAAACCAACCACCAGCCCCGCTAGGAACGTCGACAGGTAATGTATAAAATTGCCCACCTATCCAAAATTCCCAAAAGAAGAACTCAATCAGCGACGGACCCTAAAAGTAACAACCCGCCAAAGAAAAGCACAAAACGCTCGCGGCGGCGCATGGTGTGTCGAATTTTGCTAACCTAAGCCGCGACAAATAGATCTCCGATTGGAACTTTGGAACCCTCTCATTAATGGAAGAAGATATATACAAGGAATTAGCCTATCCATCAATCACGAATCATCCGAGTCATTTTCTTTCCATTTCTTTTTTCAAAATACCCTCTGTTCTATTCCGACTCGGATAAACAAGCGCTAGATTTCGCCTACCACCAGTACTAGTAGTACAAATTGTTGATAAGGAAAAGAAAGGGGAAGTGAATTGAAATGCAGGAAATGGAGTAACGAAGCGATGGCGACAGATGGAAAGAGAAAGAAGAGGGCAGTAGAATATAAATGAGGTGGGGAAGGGATCTGAGAGAGGGGAAGAGAACCCATTAATTTAATCCATTAATAATAAGAAAGAAGAAGAGAATCACAGAAGAAGAACCTTCTCACTAATGGCGTCTTGGACTAGGAGAGTGTCTGTTGAGACACTGAACACTATATCCCCAGTCCTCGCATCCGTGTCGAAGAACCCCACGTCTTGCTTCAGCACCGCTTCCAAATACTTCTTCCTCAGGCTGCTCACTTGCCTCTCCCCACTGTACATCCAGCAACCAATCTCTGCAACAACAACAAAAAATCAAAATCAATGAATTAACGGCTACTGAAATCGACAGTGAATAAGAAGATGAAGAAGAACGAAATCAAAAGCACACGTGAATTGAGTTGAGCTGCTCTCAACCATGGTCCAGTCCCAATTGGACCATGGTTCAGTGAGTTGCGCAAGCAACGTGACAAAAGAGCAAAACCGAAACGGGAACTACATTTTTCTTTTTCTTAACATTTTTTTTTTTTTTGTTTATTTACCTGCGTAGGATGATACGCAAACAATGAGGCCGAGATAGACGAAGTAGAGAGCGTACTGCGATTCCATAAAAAACAAACACCATTAGTACAGAGGAGAAGGACAGAGATCTGAGATCTAATCAAACAGAGATATAGAGAGAGCGGGCGACGGTACTGAACCTTGGAGACTTCGTGGATCATGGTGGGCAAATCGGACTGGTTCTTGCCGAAGCCGTTAACCATTTCGCCGAACAAGAGGAAGAAGACTGGCATGGAGGAGCCGTGGATGATGGCTCCGATACTGCCGCAGGCCATTAGCATCCAATCGTACTTGTCGGCGAAGCAGAACAGTTTGTGGAACGGGAGGGTCTGGTCTTTCCTCTTCTCTGCCTCCGGCAATGGCTTGGTGGCCTCTGTGCTGCTTCCCTCCGCCATTGGAACAATAAGGAGGAAGAAGCAAGGAATGGGTGATAGAGTTTGGAAAGATTCGCAGTCGGGAGAGTGTGTTTTAGTTCGGGGGGAAAGTGAGGGGTGGATTTATTGACATTGAAGGGAGAGAGAGAGATCTGAAGTAGGTGCTTGAGAGTGAGTTGGACCAGCGGTCAAAGAATGAAGACGAAGAAGAAGGTGGAGGGAGGCGAGTAAGGGGAAAGGGAAGGAGAAAATGAGAGTTCTGTGAAGAGAGAGAGAGAGATGTGAGAAAGAAGGTTTTATAATGGGGCGAAAAGGGGGAAAAAATCCCACTGTACACACGTTCTTAAAAAAAATTCCCAAAATACATAAGTTATAAAAAATTTTCCCAAAGTACACATGTTTGGCATTCACCGTTTTTGACAAACGCAGTGAAGGTAATCACCGCGTTTGACAAAGACGGTGAATATTTCACCGTTTAAAACTAAAACGGTGAAGTATTCACCGCTTTTATAAAAAACGGTGAAGTATTCACCGCGTTTGTCAACAACGGTGATTACATCACCGTTTTAGTGCAAAACGGTGAACACATTCACCGTGGTTGCCTAAAGCGGTGATTGTTTCCCACGTTTCCCACCCCTGGTAGGTCAAAATTAGGTCACACCTACCTAGTATTCACCGTTTGAGACAAACGCGGTGATGGTGTTCACCGTGTTTGACAAAAACGGTGAATAGTAGCAAATTTTCCTATAAATACCAACCCACCAGCAGAAGCAAAAACTTACCACTCCCCCCTTCTTCAAATTTCAGCAAATAAATCGAGCATAATACACAGAACAGACATTTTTTGGTATGTCTCTTTTCGTATTATAGTCTAATTATGTTTTTAGTAGTTATAGTATGATTAAATTTTCGTATTATGTTGTTGTTAGTTAGTTGAATTTATGTTCGTTAGTTATAGTATGATTTAATTTTCGTATTATGTTGTTGTTAGTTAGTTGAATTTATGTTCGTTAGTTATGAGATGGATAATATTAGTTGTACAATATGATTTTGGTTAATTTTACTGTCTTTAAGCTAATAGATACTTATCCTCGATTTGTAGATATGGGTAAATTCAAGAAGTTTCATCTTACTATTCGGTGGAATGGAAGGGTGACAAACTCTGACATAGGCATTGATTATGAGGACGGCGAATCCATTATGCTGAACATTGGTTCCCGATTCAATTTTCAAGAACTCTGTGATCTTTGTGCAGAAAGGGTTTGTACGAGCGGACAGACGAGACTTGGCAAAATTACTTACCGGTATCCAGACATGAGTGCTGGCGGGCTCGTGTTCCAAGAAGTTGTCATAAACGATGATGACGCGGTTACGATGATGTTACAGTTCCTAAGCGATAACCAAGTCCGGCTTGCAGAGGTGTATGTTGAGACCGAGGCGGTCGGTGAATCTCATTCTCACCAGTATTCTTATGATGATGGTTTTGCAGGAGGGTACGAATGGGGTGGTAGTTCGAGCAACTACCAAGGCGGTGGTTATACAGGAGGTTACGGGGAGGGTGGTGGTTCAATCAACTACGGTGGATCGAGTAGTGCAGGATGGGACAAATACTCGCAACCTCCTCAACCAGCCGATGGTGTTGAATGGCCTGCTTGGGGGCCAGAGTGGTCTGAAATCGAGAATAACATTCGATCAGGGAGGTGCGAACATCGGGAGATGCTCCCATACCCACAGTTGCAGGATGAACATCGCAGCACCAGCTTGCTTTGCCCCAACCTTCGAGCAAGTACACAGCTCCCGGTATACGCCCGCTAGCACGGCCGATCCCCAACTCTTCTCTCCAATTGCATCCCAGTCACCAGTGAGCAATGGCAACCATATGCCTTGAATCCACCGGTTGGACTTGTCGGGGAACAAAAATCCACCCACCAAACCAATGAGGTAGATGCGGGCGTAGCGCTCGACTTGTTCTTCCGGTGTCTCGTCATTGATTTCCACCTCTTGCTGGATGTGAGATACCAGCCACGGGACCGACACTTGCCCCGCATTCAACGGTGGATGCCCCCGTCCTTGAATTGGTGTGGTGGTCGGCATGTCGAAGCACAAACGATCACGTATGAGCGGCCCCCAACCTCCTTCGGGTTTGGTCGTGGAACCAATGATTGCATCTCCAGAAATAGGAAGCCCGGTGAGGATCGCCACGTCTTTGAGGGTGATCGTCATTTCCCCCTCCGGAAGGTGGAATGTATGGGTTTCGGGACGCCATCGTTCCGCCATTTCCGTAAGCAGATCGTTGTCGATCTCGATCCGCAAGAAATGGCGCAACATTCCCAAACCGGTCCTCGCTATGTAGGGCTCCAACCTTGGATGCCAAGCGGGCAAGTTATTGGTCCCTTTATGAACCACGGGAACAAGCGATTCCTAAAACAAATAGGGAAAATAACAATTTATTAGATTAAATAAAGCAAAATAAAACCTTAGAAAATAATAAAATAAAGCAAGAATACTCAAAAAATTACCGGATAGTTATCCCAAATAGCACGGGAGCGATGAGCTTCTTGATCGGTTAAGAGACTCGCATCCCTTGGGCCATAATGGATATACAATCGAGGATCGTATATCTCGGCACCCATCTATAAAAAAGTAATGAAATCAGAGATTGTTTTGATAAAAAAACAAAAAATTAAATTGTTTCGATTAAAAAAATTCATAAACCAAAAACCTACACGAAGAGCCTCTTCGTCCATTTTTTGGCGTAGGCCGGACAGAGGTTCGACGATTTTAGGTTTGTAAGGGACGGGGGCTTTAGGGTCAAACTCTAGTAATTCTTTCTGATGTGGAAGATCGGACTTAGCCGCAACCACAGAGCATACTTAGAACGAGACTAGAGCGGATAAATTGAGGGAGAAAGAAGTGAAATGTTTGTGGGGTGAGTTGAAAGTGAAAGGGGAAGGGGGTATTTATAGTTGGGGGAAGGGGGGAGGCGCCTGCGCAGCATTCAATTGGAGCGCCTTCACCGCGTTTGACTAACGCGGTGAACTCACCGCTGTCAACAAACGCGGTGTATGTCGAGGGGACGTGGCGTGTTGTGAGGCGTCGGATCGTGGGAAGAAAACCACGATCCGCGTCTCACCGCATCCAACGGCCACGGTGAAAGCAAATTGGCCCGGATCGCTGACGTAAACAAACACGGGGTATTCACCGTGTTTGTCTAACGCGGTGAATACCCCGCGTTTGTCCACGTCAGCTCCTTCACCGCGTTTAATAAAAACGGTGAAGTCTTCACCGTTTCAGTTTAAAACGGTGAAGCCTTCACCGTTTTAATTAAACGCGGTGAAGCCTTCACCGTTTTTGTTAAACGCGGTGAAGGCATCACCGTTTTTATTTAAAACGGTGAAATGTTCACCGTTTTTATCAAACGCGGTGATTACCTTCACTGCGTTTGTCAAAAACGGTGAATGCCAAACATGTGTACTTTGGAAAGAAGTAGCTCGAACAAAGTGAGAGGAACGAAATCACTTAGAACCAAAGAGCAGGTTCGGTGTGTATCAAATTATTGCATACTCTTAGCTGCGGTTACAAAATCAGCATAACATGGCAATCCATATATTCTAAAATTTACCTATTTTATGACCTATAAAACGCTATTTGTTTTTCAGGGTGTATGAAATACTCACTTATACACAAAACTAAAAATTAGGGTGATATTAGGTTATCCGGCTAGTGGATGACCACTAAACTAACCGAAAACCGATGGTTAATAGTGTGGTTATCGGTAAGATGAAATTGCTCTGGTGTAATCGATAATCAAATAGTATGTTAACAGTTAACCAACAACTAATCGAGTATAAATAACTATGCTTCTCTCTCCAATAATGATCACTTCTCTCCCAAACAAACTCTCAAACTTCGAATAAACAATCTCCTTCATGCCGCAACAATTTGGGTCTTCCCCCCCCCCCCCCCCCCCCACCGTGAATCCTAAAATTGAAAGAGGTGAAGAGCACTGTCGATTCTTCAATTGAAACGTAGGCATTAAGGTTAGACTACTGAAAAGATCTTAAGGCCTCTGTTGGAGGAAATACGGCAAAGAGCGCGCCACATTAATCAATCAATGGCTTCCCTCACTCAGTTTACACTCATCATTCTTCTCATTCGTCTCTTCGCTTTCTTCTCTCAATGCCAGCACGAGCGACAATCAAATCTCAAATCCCTAATTCTACTGCTCTTCAAAGACCTCGCCACGAAAAAAATCCTTACCTACCTACACATTGGAACCCCTCTCGCTACCAGAACCTTCATCATTTACTTTGCCAAGCAAATCCGTTAGCTCCACTGTCACACCAAAGTCGATTCCTCCACCACTTAGAGCCTCACTAAGTGTGGATCTACCACGTGTTTTGTCACCATTTTTCCTTCTCGTTCATATACATCAATGGTTACTGGCTTTATAATTTGGCCTCGTCTTCATTGTCATCCATTAGATTGAGTTTGACCCAAAAATTCTAAACAAATTGGATGTCCATCTCTGAAAAAGTTGTGGCTGCATACCCAAAATCGTGGTAATCTTCTGCATTTGTGCATCGGAGGTGGTAATGCTAGAGTAAAGGGTTCCAATCATCGGGATTTGAAAAAAATAACAGATAATTTTTGACAAAAAATTTTGATTAACTGTTACAAGACATTGCTGGTCGGTTAGACGCTTTACCGAAGAATTAACCAATAACCGATTATTGATTAACCAAATCATATAAACAATGAGGTTAGCAATAAATACAAATGGTGTAACGGTTAACCGATAATCGAATAAACAGTAACAATTATAACCAAACCGACTAACATGCCTACTAAAAATATAATTCTCTTGTGAGCAAGGCTTTATATGACTTGGTATAGTAGTAGTACCATTGTTGATTTCCAATGTCTATATCCTAAATAATTATGTTTATTTTTCTTAAATCTAAGTTAATTTGGAGGAAAATGTGGTTTATGTTCTCTATGTGGTGGCCTGCTTCATTAGTTGGTGTAGTTGCTGTCTTTGGTTTCTGTGACCTTCCTGTAAAATGGGGTTTGCTTACTTAAAGTTTGTTGTTTAGTCCTTAAATACATTTAATCTTTTATTGAACATTCCAGACCCCACAAGTTGTGTTAAGTATTTCGCCGGAAAAAAATTTCCTTAATTATAAATCTATCTTTATCTCTTAGTTGTCTACTCATTGTTTGTTTGTTGTAACACTCTTGCATTTTGGTTGGTTTGGACATGGATTTCATATCGAGAATATTATATACTCAAAACTCGAAAGGCGATATAATAAAATAGTGACTCACCCACGAGAACATGTACTTGGAGTGGATGATTGGTGGGCTAATAGGGGAGAATTTCATTAGTCGATCTTCGTTAGTCTTTCTTTGTATTTACTTAGAATTGTATATGATTGATATTAATTTGAAATCTGAAATATAAAGATTTGTTTGATAGAGAAGACCAACGACTTACAAAAAAAGCTCAATTGTTAATTAAAAAGATATTGAACGACTTTGGCGATTTGGAAAAGCTAGGGTTTAACAAAAGAAAAAATCGAGTTTGTACAAAATTATTGGTAACAATTTTACTAGTGGTGCTATTGTAGAGTTAAGTAAAGTTGTAATTACGTATTCTATCTATGACAAAATAAATCCTTTTTCCACAAAGCATAAGAAACTTATCCATACCATGACCATAGTAGTGCGAGGACATAAATTTAAGTTACCGATTCAACAAATAATAATATTTTTAAGTCAAAGAAAATTACATGTTAGAATTTAGAAGAGGTACTGGTTAGGCGCGCGCCTAGGCCCCGAAGAAAGACAATGAAAGAGTCTACATTTGCATTTTACGGGGATATGTACCTCGTGTGCTCTAGGATTCTAATTTTGTAAAGTACAATTAATCAAAAGTGACGATTAGAGTCTCCGAGAATAGAGGAAGGATGTTAGGATTGACCCATCAGGCGATATATCTTGAAAAGATGGTCACATTTAATAAGGTAGAAATTCTCTCTACTAAGAATTACTTCTTTCGTTATAACTTTCAACCCACACTATCTTGGAGGACAAAGGACTTCCCTTGTAGGTTAAGCCTAAGCCTTGAAAATCCTAGCATCAACCGAAGCACATAGACCGAATGGTATCTTGACATATACAGATATACTCATCATTATCCATTTTGTTCTTAAATTGTAGTTTGGTTTAGTGCCTCTGTACAGTGCCACACATTTTTTTTTTGTATGTGAAGTTCAATTTGCACTAATGGTATATAATCACCTATAGTATGGTGCATTATAACTCCCGGTGGGCCTTATGTCAAGTGGGATTAGTAATTAGGAACATATTATTAGTTAATTATTGGGTTCGTATTAGTTTATTGTGTCTTGTTGAGGAAGTTAGTATTTACTTGTTGGGTTAGGATTAGTTTACCTTATTTGAGAGGGAAAGAGTTATGAGAGTAGTCCTATAAATATGTACGTTGTTCTTTGGTTTTGATACGTCAATAAATAATAAGCCAGTTTAGTAGTATTCGTAGTAATTTAGAAATAGAAGTAAAGTAGATTACCGTTCTCTCGACGCATTAGAAGCTATAATGCGCCATAGTAATAGTACGATACTACCGCAGTCTTGTTTGACAAATACAGAAGATACAGAGAGGGTTTCAGACTCCTACCAATAATTCATATAGGATCACATGAGGAGAGCAATGTCGTTTAACGAGGACAGGGCATAAGAAAGTGATATATCGGGACGGGAGTGGATTCAATTAAAAAATCAGATTGGAGGCCATTTGCGATCTTTGCTCACATGCACACGAGAGAAAAAGTGATATTATGTGTTGTGTTTGTGTATATGATCTGTGGTTCTGGTCTGGTGGGTGGCTGGGTGCATGAGATGATATGCAGCAGAATTCCAGGGAAACAGTTGTGGCTTTACCTGGGCCCAGATCATCACGGCCCACAAATGCAATTATGGTTCTATTGCCATGCTTATTATTATCATCACCAATCTTCTTTAAGCCATAGGGGAGACAACCACACATTCTTTTTCACTAATATATATGTCTATGACTAGTCTGGCTTCCAGTTCTGGTTAAACAATGATCAGGGATATATGTTTATTGTTCATTTTCAATTTTGCTTTGTAAATTATTACATAATAAGAGTTTTTGCAATAGACAATTCGCAAATGTTGATGTCAAACATTTATAAATATTAATGTGTAAGGATTAACCAACCATTTATAAAGACGATGCTACGTTGTTTTGTTTTCATGCCCGAAAATCAGGTGATATATTGACGTGTCGTGAGTAATGAACATAATAATATCGATAATAAAACCTTTTTCAGTCTCAAATTTACGAATAGTAGTATACTGCCTCTATATTTTTGTCTATAATAAACAACCAAAATAGTTAGGCAATAGCTAGATGCTCCAACTAGAACTTAAGACAAAAGGGCTCAACCCTTACCAATACGAAAGGCTCAAAATTATTAATAGGTAAAGAATTCCTCACCTCTAGACTCTAGTTCTCGATTTACATACAACTCTCTCTCTAGTTAAATTTCCACAATATTTGTACTCATTGTTTGACAAGCATGTAATCTTTTCCTGAATTTTCAGACGTTATGGTATCTCCTATTTCAGTATTCTATTGCTTTGACTTTGGATCCGATACCATGATATTAAACTCTTGAGTAATTTGAGATTACATGATAGCATGAGATTGTTGGGATTTTTTCTTCTTCCAATTGTGTCCCTACCTTATGTGTGTTGCTTTTTTACATTGAAAACAAAGGTTAAAATTGATATTTCACCCCAAAAAAGGAATATAACTTATTTAAATACTACAATAACTATCATAAACAACCAAACGATGTAAACTACAATACACCAATTTTCTTATATACATGTATGTTATTATGCATGCATTGATTACAATGCATCAATTTAACTATCACCAAAACCAAACCAACCCAAAATGTCATTACCGGGATGTCTAACATATTGGACAAATGAAACCTCTAGAATTAAAATCTAGGACCCATAAATATTCCCAAACAAAACTTACTGGATAAATATTCAATCAACAATCCTATTATATAAAAAATATCAAGATGGTTTTTCTTATTACCCTTAGAAAATATGATAAATTTTGCTGTTCAAAGAGTAACAAATTGATTGATAATCAAATACCGACATACCCCAATCACTATCACCATCACCTCTCTCGAGTCTGAACATCTTCTCCTGGCCAAATTGCAGAATGATTTCAGGTTCATGGAACAAGAACAAGAATGCCTCCAAAACCCCAAAAACAAACATGCATGAAAGAGGCACCGCCATTAATGAAGGTTGCCCCCGGCCCCTCGATCGGGTTCATCTATAGGTCAGTTGGCAACCTCAAACCTCTCCTACTCGTACGACTGCCCCCTTCTTCTCCCGTCCAAATTATTAAGTCCCCTCCTGAAAACGAAACAATCTTTCTGCTAAATGCCATTTCTAGTCGATTAGACTATCATTATCATTTGCCGAGTCCAATAATAAAGAGCCAAATTGTGTTTGTTCTTGTTCATCATTCCCTATCCCAAAGCAAAGCAGAGCCATGTGGTCCAGATCTAAGCAGTAAGCACGACCTTTTCTTGTTCTTCAGTAGTGGTTGCTTTTGCATGCAGAAAGGGACACCTCAAAACTTCTTTCTTTCTCTCTTGTTGTGATACTAGCCTGCCTTGCCTCAACTTAGTAAATTCGTCCCTTAATTTCTTGAGCTGTTCTTCGTCAATAATAAGGACTAATGTTTCTTTTGTTGTCTATGACGAAACAATAAATGAATGGTTGCAAAGAGACTTCCATATTCATGAGGGCAAGGATCGAAACCCTAATCATAGTGGTTAAGTGATCAAATCCCCTAGTTTTAAATAATTTCATTTTATTACGACTCGAAATAACAATTGAGTGATGAAAATCCCAATTGAGGTTGGGGCAAAATCAGGAGGTGAGTGGCAAGAGGAGAGCCAAGCCACAAACTCGCCTAAGTTGAGTAGTTCAGTTAAAGCCTGGTGGCAGGAATGGGCTCAGATGTGGATCGACATATATCTGGTCCAAGTGGGCTCTAAGGGCCCAACTTGTTCCAGTCCGTTAAAACCAACCAAGAAGGGAATCCGAGCCCAATTGCTTATTTCCTCCCCCCCCCCCCAGACTTTTAGGCAAAAATCATCGAGCCAAAAAGCATAATTATTTGACTAATCAACAACATATATCCATCTACCGGCAGAAGGTTTGGTATGGAACTCATGGAAGTGTTAAGGAATGGAGTCAGCCTGGTGCGACCTTGGTTGTCTTATTCTACTATTTTGATTGTCTTAGTGATCATCAATATAATTATAAATACGATTGATTAATTCTTATGAATTTGTCGAGTATTCATGAGAAATCAATTTTTTTTTGGACCAATAATTTGAGAGCATACACTAAGACAGAATAGAAAAATAGAAACTATAATATTTACAAAATAGATAAACACAAAGGGAGCATATATAGGTCTCTTTTGGTTTTGGTCAAAGAGAAAATAGCATCTCAGTTCTGTACAATATACAAGAACGGACGACTTCCACGTACTAATTACATTACTACCATCCTCTCCCTTTCTTTCTTGCTCTCATATTACCAGACAAAAAAAGAAAAGAAAAAAACCAATACAAAACAGGATGACACGACCTAGAGCATAGCTAGGTAAAAATTGTACAAGCAAAAAGAAGAACATAAACACCAACTCCCTCATCCGCCAATCGATCTCTCTCTGTTCTTCTGCCCTGCACGCAGAAACAAAAATCATCTCAACGATCAAAATCCATTTTAAATCACGGAAAACTGATGAAAACTAAGACTTACATATACAGAACAGGAAAACGAAGGAACAAATTTGTACCTGTGACGGGGGCCCGATTAATTAATCAATTGACGGTGGTCTTACGGCTAAGAGGGGAGGAAGGCAACAGCGGTCTCGTCAACAACACCACTACTCCATCATTCATCACCGGCGACGAAGCTGCCGCAGCCACCATATTCTTGATCATCAAGTTATAGTTACTATTGTCAACCCCGGCGCCGGAGCCGGAGCCGGAGCCTTTTAAAACGTCAAGGAAATCCTGGCCCACATGCGAATCCTCCTCCCGAATCCGCAGCACCTGGCTATGCACATACCCTTTCCTCTCCGCCGGCGACTCCCCGTTATTCCTCCTGACAGTCATCATCTCTGTTGTGAATCTGTGATCAGCGAAGAGAGAGAGCGAGAGAGAAGAAGAGAGAGAGGGAGACTGTTTATTTGTTTATCGGCTAATAATATAAATGGCTTAGAGAGGCAGTTTAGGGGGATTACTATTATTTATAGGCAGCTGGGTCGACGTGTACGGCTGCTTAATTATTGTGTTGTTGTACTCGTCTCTGTTGTAATCTTATTAAAAAAAAAAAACTTACTGTTGTTGTTTGTGGGTTGTCGTCGTGGCGGGGGGTCAAAGTTTGCGAGAGAAAAAGCCGGCTATCCCCACGTGTTGACTTGCTGATCGACATGTAAGTTGTAACGTGGTTGGTTTGCAATATTTACTACTTTCAGACGCCAACAAAGACGGGGACGACAACTGGGACAACTGTGTTTTCTAATGCCCCAATCCGCCGCCGGTTTATGGTGATAAGCTTATGGTTCGTTGTTTTTTTGGTGTGTTGAAAAAGATAAGCTCGCGGTACTTTCATATCTGATGATAATTTTGTCCAAATTCATGAATATTTTGTCCAAATCTACGGGTTGTTTACTATTGATCAATTTAATTAGATTCAGTACTTTTTTTTTTGCGTATAAGTCCCGATGAAAAATTATGTTTAGTACCTAAGATTTTTGTTGTATTGCATTTTGATACCTATACTTGTTTAATTTTTACAAATAGGTTCAATGTTTTTGTGTGCATATATGAGAGTGCTATGTCACTCGACTTTCACGGAAGAGATTAGCAATAGTAGCTGAGGATTGCGGGGTAAAATGAAAGCTTTGATTGTTCAAACATGGTAATCACTCCCAGGTTGTTTTTGATGTTGTTGGATTACATTTTGTATATACAACAATCACATTTGATAAATTGACGTCATTATAATTTTTTTTTTTTATCATTGCACCAATCCAACAATCAGATGGATGAAAACTAGTTTACACGTACTGACATCGATCATTATGGCAATTCAACAATCACATGCTAAGAAAACTACAAAAAAAAAAAAAATGGTGGCTCGTGTTTGTTATACTCGTCAGTTCATTATAGATAACTAAATACAATGCTACAAGAGGGGGGGAATGGTTGTAAAAAAATCGGGTTAATTATTCAAACGTTCCATATTTTAGTCTATTGAATGCATGATAATCAAATTGAACAGTTACATTTATATTGTTGTAAAATTGTTCTTAACCTTATTAATCTTATCTTTGCGTATGTTGATCGATGTTACTATACAAAATATCATTGCATCAATGCAACGATTGCATACTTGTCGACCCGCGATTCAGCATACATAATCAAATGTGAAATTTAGTCAGTCAAGTTGGGAGGGGGTGGAGAATGATTGTAGAATGATAATGGAGTAGTAGCTAGTAGGGCGGGTTGATTTGGGGTAGGGTTGGCGATGGGTGGTTCGGGGCGGATAATGCATATCCATTACTCTATCCAAAGTAGTTCGAGTTTTACCTATACCTATATATATACCCACATATGAATGGGTAGAAAATCAAAATCAAAATCATGCCCATACCCGTTCGAATTTCCGGTATCCATGATTATTCATGGATAACAATTTCTCTTCATAACTCTAACCAATATGTTAACATTCACACGTATTCTTACATTACGTAAGAGGAAAAGTATGACAATAATTCACTAGAATGAAGAAAATTAATTAAAACAACACAATTTCATGAAAAATATTTTATTTATATGCTAAATATAAAATATGTTAGAGAAAAATAATTATTATTTCTAGACAAAGTACATATGCATGTGTATAATCGGGCAGGTTCGGGTTGGATAGTGAGAAACCCATGCCCACCTATTACCCGCAATATATATTAGGGTTTGGGTTTTACCCATACCCACTAAATGTCCTTCGGGTTCGGATTTTACCCTATCCGATTAGACCGAATTCGAGCGGATATCCACGGTTACTGATATTTTTGTCATTCCTAATTTGGGGATGGAGTGGAGCATCCACGTGGCTGGGTGGTGTGAGATCTTGGATGGCGACATGTAGGACACGTTTGTGAGTGGAAAGGTATCTCGTGGTGCACGAGGGGATCGTTGCAATATTAGTTGGTAACCACTAACCACTAATCAGGTGGCAGTGGCAAGCGCCAAGAGATTTGTATTAACTAGTGCCGTAATTAATGTAGGGTTAGCTAAATCAATGCTCCAAAAGCCACCACTGGACTTTGATCAGTAGTGCGGTCGTCAACTTTCCCACCTAGAAAAAAAAAAAAGAATCTTTCTGCCTTTCCTCTTCTTTCTTGCTTCCATATTGGGGACTAGATAGTATAACAACACTCCTTGTGTTGTTATTGTAACAACACTAGTCTCCAACCAATAGGAAGCTAGGGTTGTGATGACTTTTTATTAGATGAGTTGACCTAGTGTAAAATCAAAGAAGGGGTATAATTGTCATTATGAAAAATATGTTTAAATAATAATAAAAAAAAATATTTTTTTTTATTTTTCGGCCTAAAATTTCGGTCGCCGGAATTCTGCCACCGGTCGCCGGAAAATGGTCGTCGGTCACCGGAATATGCTTTTCGTCGCCGGAATATGCTATTTTGTCATCGGAATATGCCACCGTCGCCGGAATATGCTCACCGTGGTCGGAATATGCTTACCGGCGTCGGAATCTAGTCATCGGGGCCGGAATATGCCTATCGGCGCCGGAATCTGGTAACTGACGGTCATCGGAGTTTGGTCAACGATTTTCGTTGACCGGTCAACGGCCAACGACCACCGGATGTTATGGTCTGCATTGTGAGATTTATGGTTTGGTTTCTCACATTTTTGTATGCCTTTTGTGGTTTGCTTTATCGCGTTTGTGGTTTGTATTGAGAAGTTTCTGGTTTGCTTTATCGTGTTTGTGGTTTGCATTGAGAAGTTTCTGGTTTGCTTTAAAAAATTTTGTGGTTTGCTTTGCGGGGTTTCTGGTTTGTTTTAATAGATTTTTGGTCTGCATTAGGACGTTTCTGGTTTGTTTTTGTGATTTGCTTTATCGTGTTTGTGGTTTGCATTATGAGTTTTCTGGTGTGTTTTTTAAAATTCGGTGGTTTGCTTTGCGGGATTTCTGGTTTGTTTTAGTAGATTTTTGGTCTGCATTAGGACGTTTCTGGTTTGTTTTTTTGGTTTGCTTTAACGTGTTTGTGGTTTGCATTATGAGGATTTCTGGTGTGTTTTTGAAAATACTGTGGTTTGTTTTGTGAGGTTTTTGGTTTTGTTTCAATAGATTTTTGGTCTGCATTAGGACGTTTCTGGTTTGTTTTTTGTGGTTTGCTTTATCATGTTTCTGGTTTGCATTATGAGGTTTCTGGTCTGCTTTCGAAATTCCGTGGTTTGCTTTGTGAGGTTTATGGTTTGTTTTAATAGATTTTTGGTCTACATTAGGACGTTTATGGTTTGTTTTTGTGGTTTGCTTTATCGTGTTTGTGGGTTGCATTATAAGATTTCTAGTTTGTTTTTGAAAATTATGTGATTTGGTTTGTGAGGTGTGAATAACGATGAAACGAACCAAAGCAAGTCTCAACAGCTACATTCACCCGTCCATTCCTATGAACAATGCTACACCAAAATGGAATATTAATGTACACACACTCCACGAAGAGCCTTGTGTGCTTAGATTGCACTCCAAACATACACCGCCATTGTTAACTCAACCCAAAACGGGGGCAGAACCCTCCAAATTGGTGGGCACCTAACCTAATTACCCTCTCCATGAAAACGACTGCAGAGCAATTTCGAGCCCTGATGATGTGTCAATTGTCTTGTTTGAATCTGTAAATTGCAACAATTATGTGTTCTTTTTTCTGATCACAAGTCCCTCTCTATCGATCAACATATGCTCTTGATAATAAGGGAACTGAAACTTGGCGATTCCTCTCGATTGCAGGGCTGGGCTCTTGCTCCGTGTAGTTCTCCGGATGTGCGATTCGGACGACGAACTCGCAGTTGGAATCCCCCGGAAGAAGCTCGACCTCCGCCTTGGGGAGCATCCGGTGCTCGCGAGTGGTAGGGTTCCAGAATGCGATTTCCTCGTCCGAATTGCGGAGCGCGAGCAGTCCGTTGCAGCAGCAGAGGATCTCGGTTCCGAACATGTGAGCTTCGAGCTGGTAGTCCAGCTTCGCGACGGCGGCGTGGAGGCGTTCGAGGTCCACGGAGGAGAGAAAAGAGTGTCGGTGGAGAGAAAACAACTGTCGATTCTCGATGACTTGCGGTAGCAGAAGCTAGGACTTACCGAGGTCGCTATTGCAGCCATGGAAGATGACGGCTGCCGCTGACGTCGAACATGATCTCTCCCGGAGCTCGTATCACGGGATTGATCGGCGCCGGAACATAGAAGGAAATAGAGGAGGACTGTCGACGCCGGCGGTGGAAGAAAGAAGGAACAGCCGGAGATGAGGCCGGCGAGGAACGACAGAAATTGCATACGAGATTGAAGGAGTGGATTAGGGTTTGGAGATTATTTATTTAATTTTAATTTGATATTTTTTGTTAATTTACTTATTTACCCTTAATGAATTCTGTTGTTATAATAACAACACTAAAGGTGTTGTTATTCTATCCTATCCCTCCATATTGACTCGCAACTCTGACCATATTCCCTTTCAACAAAATCAGGGACCGTTTCACAAGGATGGGAAATTGGGGGCTAAGATGAGGTGACTAAGTAAATCTCAGCCCTTCCATCTCATTAAAATCTAATGGCTATAATTAATCTATTTTAATGAAGGGCAAAATTGTAAGTTTATGATTATTTTTATTTTCAATTATTAAATAATTTTTTGCCGGCTCACTCTCCCTGCCGGCCGCTTCGTTTTTTTGTTCCCGGCCGTCCGCCTCGTTTTTTTTCCCGCCGGGATCCGACCAGGGCGTCACTTTTTGTTATGGGAATTTATTCCCCAAGTTGAGAATTCTGGGAATTCTTCCCACCTGAGAGAGAGAGAGAGAGAGAGAGAGAGAGAGAGAGAGAGAGAGAGAGAGAGAGAGAGAGAGAGAGAGAGAGAGAGAGAGAGAGAGAGAGAGAGAGAGAGAGAGAGAGAGAGAGAGAGAGAGAGAGAGAGAGAGAGAGAGAGAGAGAGAGAGAGAGAGAGAGAGAGAGAGAGAGAGAGAGAGAGAGAGAGAGAGAGAGAGAGAGAGAGAGTTTTGGCCGGAAAATTTTATGACCGGAATTTTTTTCCGGCGAACATCGTCGCCGGAGAAGATTTTTTCGGCGGCAGTGCTAATTTTGTGATGTTTGTTGACATATTTTGTAATGTTTGTATGCTTTGTTATTTTGTAATGTTTGTCGGTTTTTTTGTAATGTTTGTAAACTTTGTTATTTTTGTGCACCATGTTTGTAAACTTTGTCATTTTTGTGCACCATGTTCGTAATGTTTTTTATGTCTAAAAAACACCCGGGTTGATTTTGGGAACGAGCCCCTCTATATAGGGATGGAGCCTCCAAAGTCAACCCGGGTGTTTTTTCCCGTTCGTATGGATTGTCGGTCTAGTTTGTCATTTTTGTCCACCATGTTCGTACTGTTTGTATGTCTAAAAAACACCCGGGTTGACTTTGGAAAGGAGCCCCTCTATATAGGGATGGAGCCTCAAAAGTCAACCCGGTTGTTTTTTCTTTTTGTATGGTTTGTATTGTTTGTCGGTCTAGTTTGTATTGTTTGTACAATTCATACGTTTGTAAATCTGTTTGTATGTTTTGTCGCTCTAGTTTGTACTGTTCGTATGTTTGTATGGTTTGTACTGATTGTAAATCCGGTTTGTATACTTCGTAATTTTCCATAATACCCAAACTACCCCTGTCATTAATTAAATAGCCCTTCCCACTTTTTAACCATTAGATTGAAGTGTCCAGATCTAAGGGCTGGGAGGGGCTTAGTCAAGTGACTAAGCCCCCCCTAGTCACCAGATCCGCTCTCGGAAATTGGTGTACGCTAGTTGAAAGTTAAAACAGAACATTCCATCTTCCACGTGGCTGCTTTAGGTATGGCCACGACTAAGTACCTGGATCAACAGATACAGGTAGGTTACGAGAACAATTCATATTTTATGGCACATCATGAGGTGATCAGTCGCTTTCTTGATATGGTATAACAGATGTCCCCAGATGTGTTGTAGATAGGCGACCTAACACTAACGGTACTCTAACAGCCACCATCTGCTGCAAAGCAAATCATGATTCATGCCTAAAAAAAGATATCGGAATTTAACATGGGGTGTGGAAGCCATCCAACTCAGCCAAAGGTTTGGTAAACAAAATATCACTAATGTCCACTTCTTAATTAGTTTCGTTAATGGACCGGGTATCCAGGATTGGCTGATGAAACTTGAAAGTAAGCCTGCAGTTGAGCCGACAAAGAAAGAAGCCCATTTATCAGATGGGCCTAACTGATTAAACCACCAGTCTTCCCGCTTTCTTTGCCCTAACTTCCAACTCTCTCAGTCTTGGATTTCCCACCGGCGAAGAACAGGCAGAGCAGAAGCTTTTCCTTTACTGTCCGCCGCCGCCGCCGAAAGGTAGTACTGAAGCCTGGGAGCGGGGGGAACAGCCTGCAATTGATCGGCGGCATGTCTGCGAAATGGCGGACACTGCAGCACCGTCACCGTTACACATACAACGCCGTGATTTTCCCGCCCTCGTATGCAGACATCTTGTCTCGCTCTCTCTTAGCATCCAATTCCAATCCGAAGTGTTCAGCTTTCGTCAGAGACCTCAACCATTTGATTTCGCTGACTTCCATCTACACTCAAGTAGCCCATGCCAAGGCCCTGGCTTCATCCTTCTCCAACTTAGTTAGAGATAGTGAAATTGACGCCAGTCTTCTGGAATTAGCTTCTCGTTTTTACTTGGAAGTTCTGTTCATGGAGAACTCGCCCCCTCTGCATCGCACTTTAGTATCTGGGTTGTCGAGAATTAGCGACGGCGAGAGGCAATTTTTGGTCCACAAGTGTTTTGGAGAACTCTGCAAGGAGTATAATGGGGCGCTGGCGAAGAAGAAGAAGCGGTTCTGTTTGTCGAAAGTGGCCTTGTCTTTTATGGGTATGCCCAAGTTGGGTTATTTGGTGGAGATAATTGAAGATTGCGCATTTCTGGTTGCTTGGGATGTAGTTATTGGGTTGGAAAGTGTGGTTTCGGAGACTGAACAGCAGGCGAGGCCGTCTCCTGTTGTTCTGGAGCAATGCCAGGATGCACTGTCTTGTTTGTACTACTTGCTTCAGCGGTTCCCAGGAAATCTCAAGGATTCGAATAATGTCGATGGTGAAGGCGAACCGAAAGTTTTGGAGAGGGTATTTAAGGTTTTGATAAGTGTGTTGAAATCAGTGGCTTTTACGAGGGATTGTTTTGTGGCAGCTGGAGTGAGCTTGTGTGCTGCTTTGCAAGCGTCTCTCAGTGCTGAAGAGCTTGGGTTGCTTATTGCTCAAGGTATTCTTAAACAGTTCACTTCATGTTCTCTGATTGATAACGGCGACAATGGAGTGTTTAGTGATGCGTTGCAGAAGGTTCCATACAATGGGGATTTTTGTCAAGAAGTACATAATTTATCTCTTTTGAGCAGGCTTTGCTTGATTAGAGGGATTCTTACTGCTGTCTCAAGGACAGTACTTACTAGGCAATTTCTGGTAAAAAGCGGTAAACTCGAGGGATATGAAGATTCTGGCTCCTCTGTCAAGACCATTTTGTATGATGGTATCTTCCTGGAGCTTTGTAACTATTGTGAGAACCCTTCGGACAGCCATTTTAATTTCCATTCGCTTACAGTTATGCAAATTTGTTTGCAACAGATGAAGACTTCAATTTTGAGTCATCTGACTGAGCAATCAGGCGACTACAATCCAATCCCAGAGGACATGCGGACCCGAATTCTGAGGATTATATGGAATAATTTGGAAGATCCTTTAAGTCAGACAGTGAAACAAGTCCATCTAACGTTTGATCTTTTCCTAGATATTCAGTCAACCCTTCATTCAGGAGTTGACAGCAAGGGTATCAAGCCATTTCTTGTAAATATTGCTTCCCATGTACTACGTATGGGGGCTCGTTGTAAGGGAAGATATGCTCCCTTGGCTTCACTGACTAAGAGGCTGGGAGCACTTGCTTTGCTGGACATGAACTCTGACTTGATGGATGAAACAGCACAAGCGTACTTAGATGATGATGTGTGCTGTGCTGCCACATCTTTCTTAAAATGTTTTCTTGAAATCTTGAGAGATGAATGTTGGAACAATAATGGTGTTGAGACAGGTTATGAACTTTACAGAGGATATTCTATGCCCCCTTTTCTTAGTGGTCTTGCTTCTGGAATATCAAAGCTTCGCTCAAATCTCAACACTTATGCGCTCCCTGTTCTGCTTGAAGTTGATGTGGATAGCATATTTCCTATGCTTGCTTTCATCTCAATCGGGCCAAACAGCAAGGAAAGTGGAATTTCACATCCTGAGCTTACTTGCTGGAACTTGGAACTTGGGATTGGGGAAAAGGTGGCTGTCTTAATCTCTTTGCTTAAGGTATCACGTTCACTTGCATTGCTGGATGGAGATATTGATTTATCTGATACCAGTTCAGATGATAATGTTCCACTAGATTGTGTAAAGGGAGCAGAACTCGTGGGTTCTTATGGTATTGTATGCATTAAAGGGATAATGGTTAAGGTCCCTGTCGACTGGCTAGTAATGGCTTTGACTCATGTTGATGAGTCACTTCGAGTGGATGCAGCTGAGACTCTTTTTCTGAATCCTAAGACATCTAGTCTTCCTTCTCATTTGGAACTCGCTCTCCTCAAAGAAGCTGTGCCACTGAACATGAGAAGTTGCTCAACGGGTTTTCAGATGAAGTGGTCAAGCTTGTTCAGGAAGTTCTTCTCTCGGGTTCGAACTGCATTGGAGAGACAATTTAAGCAGCATGGCTGGAAACCTTTAGGCAAAATAACTGAACCGTTTTCAAACGGGGAAGTTGGTATTGAAAGGGCAGCGGATCTTTTTAGTTTTATGAGATGGCTTGCGTGTTTTTTATTCTTCTCATGCTATCCCTCTGCCCCTTACCGGAGAAAAATCATGGCAATGGAACTCATACAGATTATGCTCAATGTATGGTCTATCAGACCTTCGCAGGACGACTCTGGGAGCTGCCTGCATCCCTACAGTAATTCCATCACTTCACCTGATTCAACCTTGTTGCTGGTTGGATCTGTTATAGATAGTTGGGATAGGCTCAGAGAGAGTTCTTTTCGTATTTTGCTTCATTTCCCTACCCCGCTTCCTGGCGTCGAGTCTGCTGAAATGGTCAAGAAAGTAATCATTTGGGCTCAGAGATTAGTTTGCAGTCCACGGGTGAGAGAAAGTGATGCAGGTGCACTAACTTTAAGGCTCATATTTCAGAAGTATGTAACAGAGCTAGGATGGACTGTTAGAGCTTCTGTTAATGTCGTATGTTTTGAGAGATCATCATATCATCAAGTATCCAATGGGGCTGGTGGCCAGATGGTTCAACCTTCAACTCCTGTTGTGGAGTACATTAAATCTTTGATTGATTGGTTGGATGCTGCAGTGGAAGAAGGGGAGAAAGATCTCCATGAAGCTTGTAAGAGCAGCTTTGTTCACGGGGTGTTGCTTGCATTGAGGTATACATTTGAGGAACTGGATTGGAATTCTGAGGCAGTCATGTCTAGCAGCTTAGACATGAGATCTGCATTAGAGAAACTCTTGGATCTGGTTATGAGAATCACAAACTTGGCACTTAGTGTGGTTTCTGCTGATGCCTGGTATATGCCTGAGATGGATGAGATGGATGATGAAGATTCTTACTTGGTAGGTGAGATGGATGTTTTGGAACTCTCATCTGAGCAAGGTGGCATTGATTCAAAACTTGAGCATGGCAACAGGATGTCCGAACAGATTGTCATGGTTGGTTGCTGGTTGGCTATGAAAGAGGTACATTTCTTATACTTTTTCATTCTATTTACTCTTGCTGGTTGGCTATGAAAGAGGTACAATTCTTATACTTTTTCATTCTAATTACTCTGGCTGGTCTGGCATGGGTACTTGGAGTCAATTTATCTGTAAGTAATTTTTCCTTTTCTGTAATGGTTTCAGGTGAGTCTTCTTCTTGGAACTGTCATGCGAAAAATTCCTTTACCAACAAACAGTTGTTCAGATCCACTGGAGCAGCTACCCAAAATTTCAGATGCTGCTAACCTTGAAACAACATCCAATGCTGTGCTTGATATGGAACGGCTTGAGCAAATTGGAAGGCACTTCTTGGAAGTACTTCTTAAGATGAAGCATAATGGAGCAATTGATAAGACGAGGGCTGGATTTACTGCTCTTTGCAACCGTCTGCTTTGTTCTAATGATCCAGAGTAAGTTTTTCTTTTTTCCCTTTTCTTCCGGCAGTGTATAGATCCTATTTCCAGAATCCAAAGAGACTTTTCTTTCAGCAGAGAAAAGCAACAACAGTTTTAGACCCTGATTCAGATTGAATAAGCTCAATTGGAGTTTTTTTTTTGTAGTTTATAATATACTTTTTTGGCTTGTCCGTGAAACGGGAGACTAATTTATATAATAACTTCATTCATGTATATGATGCTGATATGTCTTTTGTGTCTTCTAGACTATGCAAGTTGACAGAGTCGTGGATGGAACAACTTATGGAAAGAACTGTGGTAAAGGGACAAACTGTGGATGATTTGTTGAGGAGAAGCGCCGGCATCCCGGCAGCATTTATTGCTCTGTTTCTTTCAGAACCAGAAGGTTCACCCAAAAAGCTTCTCCCACGAGCTCTTCGATGGCTAATTGATTTGGCTAATGGCTCTTTGCTTAGACTGAATGATGCCACTTCCTCAGCAAAATCAGATCAAGTCCCCGATTCCGAACAGCACCAGTACGAGACTTGTGAGATGCAGAAGGCCTCAAAAATACGAGATGAGGGTGTAGTTCCAACTGTACATGCCTTTAATGTTCTTAGAGCCGCTTTCAACGATGCAAATTTGGCTACTGATACATCCGGGTTCGCTGCAGAGGCTGTAATTATCTCAATTAGCTCTTTTTCTTCCCCATACTGGGAGGTAAGGAACGCAGCTTGTTTGGCATATACTGCACTAGTAAGGCGTATGGTTGGGTTCTTAAACGTTCTGAAAAGGAATTCTGCACGTCGTGCCTTAACTGGCCTCGAGTTTTTCCATCGGTATGGTTTCTCGGTCTTGACTGATTAGGATTCTTTGGCTTGCCCCTTTCAGTTTTTTCTCATTGTGTTACCTGAAAGAGAAGTCTCTGATTATATTTGGTTGGCTTAGGTACCCTTTACTGCACTCATTTCTTCTCAAGGAACTGAAAGTTGCAACTGATCTGCTTGAAGATGCAAAACCTGGGCATTCGGGATCCAACCTAGCAAAAGTTGTCCATCCCAGTTTATGTCCAATGTTGATTCTTCTATCCAGGCTCAAGCCCTCAACTATTTCTAGTGAGAAGGGAGACAATCTGGATCCCTTCTTGTTTATGCCATTCATCAGGAAATGCTCTACCCAAAGCAATCTACGAGTCCGTGTTCTTGCTGCTAAAGCCTTAACGGGGCTAGTATCCAATGAGAGACTGCCACATGTCCTCTTGACCATCGCCTCCGAACTACCTCACTCCAACAGTCCAGTCAAGAAAGCTACCTCGGCTTCTTTCAACTCAACACATGGGATGTTATTGCAGCTCAGTTGTCTTCTTGATGTTAATTGCAGAAACCTGGCTGATTTCGGGAAGAAAGATCAGATTCTCCACGATTTGGTCCAGATTCTAGTGCAATGCTCTTGGATATGTTCCCCCAAAAGCTGCCCGTGCCCTATCTTAAATACATCCTTTCTACAGGTGGTGGATCACATGCTCAGTATCAATGATAATCTTCTTAATATTCGCCAGCTGCTTTTGGAACTCTCTACAGGATGCTTAGATGCTGAAGATTCTTATAAAATGGTTTCTTATGATCCCACGGTAGCTGAGCTTCGGGAACAAGCTACGCACTCTTATTTCAGTTGCTTCCTTCAGAGGCCTAAAGTTGAAACTGAAGCCTTTGTTGGACTCCAAGAGAGGCTGACGCTTTCCTTGAAAGATTCATCATATGAAGTTCGACTGGTGACACTGAAATGGCTGCTTAAGTTCCTGAAGCATGATTTTCTCCCTGGAGAGATGGCAAAAACTATTGAAGAATGGACTAGATCAAGCCTTCAGAAAACCATGATGAGCCTCTTGGACTCGGAGAAGAATCGTCGGTGTGTATACTACATTCTCAGGGTTATTTTCACCTGGAACATGCTACTGTTTGAGAAGACTGGTGATAACCGAGATCTTGATGGCACTGATTATGTCTGCCAATTGGATCTTTGCCAAATATCCCAGTTTTGGGATAAGTTGCAGTCATTATACAAGGTCACAAGACATTTAAAGACCAAGGAGAAACTCATCTGTTGCATGGCCATATGCGTGAAGCAGTTCGCAGCCCTATTCATCAGCTCTCCTCTTTCTTCCACTGAATCAAATCAACTGGAGACCCCAATATATTTGATTCGATCCATCACCTTTTTTGTTGACTTGATCAAATGCCATAGCTCCTCATCTGAACCAGTAAACATGCGCATGGCAGTTGCTGAAGCTATTACGGCATCGAGTTTGCTCGGGCAAGCAGAACTCCTCGGTTCTTCTGTATTCAACTCTGATCCGCCATATAATGCTTCTTCCTCAAAAGGTTTGCCAAACTTATATGCTTCTCAAGTTCTCGAGATATGGTTCACTAGCATCAAGTTGATGGAGGATGAAGATGACGGAATTAGACAGGAAGTCGCACAAAATGTTCAGAAACATTTTCACCATCGTCGGGAAGTCAGTGGTGTTCCAACCCAAGTGGAAAGAGTGATCGAGCTCAGCTTTTCCCATCTTTCCTCCATCTTCGGCCACTGGATTCCTTACTTCACTTACCTCTTACAGTGGGTACTGGACATAGCAGCAACAACCTCTTTTGTTTCTTCTTCCGGTGGTGATGATCTCGTGAGACGAGTTTTTGACAAGGAGATTGATAACCACCATGAGGAGAAGTTGTTGATATGCCAGATCTGTTGCTCCCATCTTGAGAAGCTTCCCCTTCCAGCTATCGACCTGTATTTGTGGAGGATGAAATTTGCTAACCAGCTGAAGTTATTTGCCGAAAACTTTGTTGGAAAACTTGGAGGAGTTGAGTGGATAGGTGGTTTGGGTAACCACAAGGATGCTTTTCTGCCTGTGTATGGGAATTTGCTTGGGTTTCACGCCATCTCATACTGCATCTTGAACGGGGAATTCGAGGATGGAATGGGTATCTTATCTGATGTTGTTGAACTCGGGAAAAGTATTGAATGCTTCTTCAGTAATCCATTGATCCTTAATCTGTTTTCGCTGGTACTGAGATCGCACGAGAAGAATGCTGGTGTCTCTGCTGCACACCAGTTTGGCTGTGAGTTGGTAGATGATGATGCTGCTGCACTTTACGATGGGTTTAATCCATATTATCTTCTTAGATGAAGGAACTTACAATCTTTCGAGCTGGTTTTGTCATAGTGTAGAATAGTATACGAAATTCTAACGTAGGATTGCTAAATCTGTACTTGTACCAGCAATGTTGAAAGCTGTAATGGCTTGTTAACAGCCCTTGTATAAGATTGTTCCGATGCTGCAATTATGGTCCAGTTATCTGTAGACGTATTTGGGTCGATTATGGGTTGAAATTAGGAGTTGAACCCAACAACATTTTGACATGGCTTGTACGAGCAAAACTTGATATAGAAATAAAGCATGACGGTCGCTATTGTAATGATCCAGCATACAAGGGTTCCAAATATACGCAAACTGCTGTAGCTTCACAAAGCAACTACTCTACTGAACTTCCAGCATTTCCTAAATCCTAACTCATAATGCTTCTCCAGAGTCTGGTAAAGAAAGCTAATGCTCAACTAAATGAACTAACTGGTGGGAGCTTAAAGCTCCACTACTCTTCCTTGACGCCATCTTCGCCTGCATCATCTTCCTCGTCACCATCATCACCACTTTCCTGTATATTTCGAAAGACAAAAACTTAGACAACTGCTACTACAGCAAACTATTATCTTGCTGAGCTTTCATGCTACAATGAAAAGTGCAGTTTACCTCCTCATCTTCATCAGAATCCTCTTCATCAGCGTCCTCCTATATGGGCAAGGCATAAAAGAGAGCATAAGCAAATTAAATTCTCAGTGACCGAGCTATCTATACTAAACTCATTTTCACTCGCCAACAGAAAGAAACAACACGATAGCAAAGAGGAACGTGCAGTATAAAAACGATTACCATGTTGAAGTACTTCAGGGGATTCGGCCACAGATCCTCCTTGATTATCTCCGACACCTGATACATTGACGAGTGAAGTCCATATAAGAACACGCAGAATTAAAAATGTAGAATCTAGTTTTACGGAACACAATTCCTCACATCATCCTGAAGTTCGGAGATGTCCTGCTCAGTTTCACCAAACCAACCGAAAAAGCTGCAAACAAAAAAATAACCGATCAACATCAATTCTCATTGACAAACATCATTCAGTGAGTTGTACATAAGAAACTACGGACAGTAGTTAAAAAGATACAATAAACAACCTCGTCTCAGTCCAAGGTCGCTTGTTTCCCTTCTTTTTCTCATCAACAACTCCGTTTTTGGCAGGGTCCTTCACAAGAAAAAGCTCAGAATCGAAAGCCGAAACATGGAGTGAACTCTTAGAAAATTCTAACGGGATAGTAGTTACAGCCTTACCCTGCCCTCCTTCCACTTGATGTCTGTACCAGTTATCTTAGTTGTGCCATCATCCGAGAAATTGAAGGTTTTTATCAGCTTTGTGTCATGGAAATAAGGATTCTCCTTAAAATTCTGAAACGGCAGAGAAACAATAGAGAATAATAAGCTTATCGCCTAATACTGAGATCTCCTGAAAGTTGGGGAGGAAAACCCCAGAAGCAGTATAAAGCAATGAGCAGCAACATATAAAACCAAGCAGAGTAGAGTCAGAATATTCAACATACAAATGTGATGGAGTAGCCAGTTTTCAGATCCTTGAAATCAGCAACATCAAGGGACTCCACATACTTTAAGATCTGCACATTTGGAATTCAAGCTTAACCCCTCCAGTTCATAATACCATAGCAGCAATCAGTATCAATAATAATAAACTAGCAGTGATATCGAACCTCATGGTCGTCGTCACCAGTCAGGAGATCACCAAGAGCAGGATGACTCATGAACTGTGCCATATACCCGATCCAAAAGCAAAAGTAAGATACTAATTCGCTATTGATCAAGTTGGGAAACCAGAAGTTCTATCGGCAATAAGGAATCCATCACACTTACAGCCGTCAACCAGAGGTCAGGCATAGTCTTGATGAGCTCATTCCTCTTGAGGTAGATGGGTCTGCGAACTTCGTTATACTTCTGTTCAATTGCCAATACTTCGTCACTCTCTTCTTCATGGATCTGTCCAAGTTACAAAGTGAAAAAGCACCAAGCTTTCATAAGTCAAAACAATTGACTACTGTTCTTTTTCTCAAAGACGACACTCCACCTTTCAAGCAAAATACAAAAGGGCTGGCCTTTTAGGGTTATCTCCTAAAGATTACACCTTTCAAACGAGAAGCGTCAACAAACAAGAACAGCAAATGGGAGTCTACTCTACTGCTCACACACAACAGCAGGCAAACAGAAGGAACGGAAAAGAGACTCGGACTTGGAAAAGGGAGGGATGAGAGAAGGGGAAAGAGAGAAACCTTGTCGAGCTCATCCTGGACGTCTTTTAACTTCTCGAGTGAGAGTTGAAGCTCCGCATCAATCTGATCAGCAGGAGGGTGTTGCTGCTCTTCATTGAGCTTGGATTTCTTACCGTTGCCGGCCACCATTGTTGTCCAAGAAAGCCCGGTAAAGGGAAGACTGTAAGGAAATGGGGTTTTGGCTGGGTAAGGGTTTTGTGCTGGCTGGTGGTGGGGTAGACCGTAGAGGAGAAGATACGAGGAAAACAATTTATATACCCTCAGGAGTCAGGCCTCAAGGAGGCAAAGGGTCTTTTCTTTCCACGAGTCGAGTGATTGGCGGGGTTGAGAATAACATGCTCTAATTACTTAGTTGCCCTAGTTACTAGTTAGCATTACAACTTTACAAGGTGTACGAAACGGTTTTAATAGGGGTGGGAAAACGGTTGCGGTTTTGCGGTTAAACCGCAACCGCACCGAATACCACAAACCGTTTAAAAGGGTCTTTATTCGGTAACAGTTAGTGAAATTGGCTCTTTTGCGGTTTGTGGACTAACCGCACACCGCACCGAATAAGTAACTCCACCGAATAACTAACCGCGTAAGAGTATACCCAACCCAAGCCCAACCCATCCAACAACCCAAAATGAATTTTCCAAGTGCATTTTCCGTATTAGAACTTAATGTGGATGGCTTCTTTTGGATATTTAGAACTTAATTCTGTTTCTGACTTTTTCAGGTGCATTTTTCTTGTTTTAATGTTAATTTATCAAGTGCATGTTGTTGGATTTTACAAGTTAATTCGGTTTTTATTGCGATTTTATTTCATTTCGCGGTTTTTACACCGTTTAACTCTTAATCGCGGTATACGATTTAAAGTGCAGTTAACCACAATTAACCACTAACTGTGATTTGCGGTTAGTGGTTAACCGCAAACCGTTTGTTGCATTGCGGTAACGGTGGGTGGTTTTCCCCTTGTGCGGTGGCGGTTAACCGCGCTTATTCGGTGCAGTTAACCGCAACCACACCGTTTCCCACCCCTAGGTTTTAACCACATGTAAAGAAAAGATAGATAATTTTATTCGTTAATCACAGTTTGTCATGATTTGGTTTAAACAAAATTTGCTTGAGGTGTAGTCATTGGTAAGAGGGGACAGAACAGAACGTGTAAGAAACAAAGATATTAAGGGTAGATTTAGGAATTGAAGAGGAGAAGTAGAGAGATTTAGAGATTCTTGTCGAAGCGAAAGACGAAATTTAGAGATATGAAAAAGGAACCAAGAGAAAAAGGGGAAGAGGTCGGAGACCTAACTAGAGAGGAAAGAGAATTGTGATTTTTGTTTTTTAATGATTGTTGACCACAAAGTTCGAATCTATAATGTGGCGGATGTTCTTATTCTCAAATATTATCATTAGATCAACCCCTAAAATTTGAATTAAAAATTTTGAAGAACAACAACTGAATTTCATTTATTTTGAATTCTGAAATAAAAAACCATAGCACATATTTATAAAAAAAAAAATCCCATAAGACATTAAAATAAATAAACCTAATTCTAAACCTAAGCTACTCGACCCCTTATTGGCCGCCAATCCCCTCCCTCAAATTGTTCCACAACGAGTAACAAACATTGGAGGGAAGATTGACAGATGTAGGAAAGTGAAAATCCTTTATACGTCTCCAAGCAAAGATCCCACGTTCCTTGTACACCACTCCACCATTCCCTTCTCTGTCCCCAAACTGCCACTTGTCTGCAACTGCACCCGGACCGATTGGTTACCAACTTCATCAAGCTCCTGAGACGGTATGTCAAGTTGTCAACCCAGATTTCAGTAGGTTTGTTGGCTAGGTTTATTTCAGAATGGTTTGTTGCTTTCATCTTGATGCTCAGCTGGTTGATACCTTCATTCGCATTTGCTTCTCACAGAGAAAGATAACAATGTCGGGTTTGGGATTATTCAGCTTCTACTCTGTCACTTTCCTAACTATTTTCGAGACTCCATCTGGCACACAGATTATCTATCAGCAATATTCAGGTATCCATTCTATTCAAACATATTCGAATCCTTAACTGTATGCAATGACAAGAATTACCAATTCAATATCAAAGGGAATACATAAAGGGAAATGGGGAAGATGAAAAGCAGAATAACTATTTCAACCCAGGTGGCAGGACAGTTGTGCAGATGGGATTAAGCAAGTTGAACATCCAAGCCATCCAAAGTGCAGACGTCTAGGAAGCAATCCTAGAAAATTACTCCTTGCTTCTCCGAATTCTTGCAACATCTCTATGGGCTCAGAACACAGAGATAGGATGGAAATCAGAGGAGGGTGCTGTTCTGGTCGTTAGAGTACTGGCAGGGAAGCAGCGAAGGTGCCTTCCAAGTGCAAGAACAAAGCCTTGTTCCTCGAAGATTCCGAGCAAGCGAGCAGGTGAGAAGGCCACACAACAAGTATTGCCTTGAACTTACAAGAAAAATTACTTTGATGAGTACGCAAAACATATATGAATGACTTCAAGACTCAACAATGAATTCCTTAATCTCTATTCCAGTATGGCGAGCACCTCCTTGTACTCGCAACAAAACTTCGTCATCAAGTTTCAGTGAAGTCACAGGAACTGCAGTCACTAGCTTCGTCTCATTAACTGCAGATAACAATAAAAAGTTGAAATTTTGACACGGGTTAATTCAAAGGGATCAACTGAAATATGCCTCCAATTAGCTCGAGGTGTTACACGGTAATGACCTGTGCAA